CCTGCTCAAACATTCCTGAGAGGCAATTCATTTATGCCCTGTCTTTCTTTCTAAGGTGAAGTGTTGAGTTTCTGTAGCAACAAAAAGTTCACTGAGGTTGTTCTATCACCACATGCTCATCTTGAGTTTATCCATTGTCATATCAAAACTAAACTAGATATTCATTTGAACAATTATCAATACTAAATTACCTGAATTGGACACATTTTTACCTTTCCTCAATATTTTGTGGTAACGTGGTTTTCATCTATACTGTAAAACCACATGGTAATATGAAATTAAACTTTTATTTTGGTTACAAGAGATTGTATTACAAACAACTGTGTTTTAATCATTGTGATACCCCAACATAATACAGTGAAAATGTTTTAGATATGTCCATGAGCTGATGTAACACACCAACAATGGCACCTTGAAGTGAAACAGTATTGTGGTACTGTGGCTAAAATATATTCAGTCCTTTGGCATCTGATTAACAAAATATCGTGCAGCCCCTATCACCCACTTCTCTTTTTTTCTACAGGCACTAGCAGCCAATGCCGGCATCGGGTTTGCTGTGGCCGAGCCGCAAGTGGCCATGTTCTGTGGAAAGCTCAACATGCACATCAACGTACAGACCGGCCGCTGGGAGCCAGACCCCTCTGGCACCAAGAGCTGTGTAGGAACCAAAGAGGGAGTGCTGCAGTACTGTCAGGAGGTGAGTGTACACAGACTTGAGCAGGACCGATTATAGCTAAATTATTTCTCCATCATGGAACCTCTGAGTGGGTGGTATCCATGAGTTTGAAGTGTTGCCATAGAAATAGCAAAGTATTATATCTTATAAATCATCATCCCCCAACCTTTTTTCTCGTAAGGACCTGTAATAAATGTACATTTTTTTCAGGGACTAGTGAAACGGGGCACGGCCAGAAATAAAACCACAAAATACTTACAACTTTTAACCATAGTTTGAAAAAAAAAGTCTTAATAATCATGTTTGCACTTTAGGTTAATTTGTACTATATTTCAGTAAATACAGTGGTAGACTAAAAGGACTAAAAGTTTTATTTCCTTTTTAAGATGTATAATATTTTTCTGTGTTCCAGTATCAGATGGCCCATGGCCTGGTTTGGGCCCTGGGCTGGTGGTTGAGGACTAAATAAAGATACAGACAAGGATTTAGCAGACAAAATTGTCACAGCACACCCAGAACTGCAGCTCTTGTTGGATGCTCCCGGTCTGCATGTGGTTTAGTGAAGCTTGGATCAAATTGCCATGACAGTCCTGAAGAAAATTGTCTTTTTGCAGTATAGCTGATGGCACAGTATGGGTTATCACATATGTGGCTGCATATTAAGGCTTGTCATGGATAAATTTGTCCTCTCTCATTACATCTGAGGACACTACAGACACTTGGATGTTCTCGCATTTGCACACTGTATTTTCATAGCCATTGGACTGCCAGCATTAGTGTCATGTTTATTACCCAGGCTTTCTAAGAAAATGAACCAAGGCTTACATTTTCATGCAGCTTCCCCGGCAGCTTAAGATGCAGTTATTGATGACATTTTGATGGCATTCAGGCAGAGCGTAAATTGTATGCTCTTTCATGGATGAGCAGATGGCATCTAGAGAGTATACAGCATGGATTAAAATGATCCCATTCAAGCTCACAGTTTGCAGTGAGTCTCCTTTCGCAACGCTCATATTACAGTTTCTGCTTCCTTCCTCCAACAGATGTATCCTGAGCTCCAAATCACTAATGTGGTGGAGGCCAACCAGCCAATCCGCATCGAGAACTGGTGTAAGAAGGACAAGAAGGTGTGCAAAGGACATGCCCATATTGTCGTGCCTTACAAATGTTTAGGTAAGCTTCAACACCAAATCACTGCTAGTTCAAGGACAGTGTGTTTCTATGTCCTCATCTGTCAACATTAGATTATGATGCATTTTGGCCATCAGAGAAGAAGTGGAGGAATAGGGTACTGTGATCCGCTTGACTAATCCTGGCCTTGAGCGGCACATTGAGAAAGCCTGAGAAGGATGAAAGCTAAGCGATGGCTTTGGGGCAAGCTATTATTGCAGGAGAGGCTTGTTGAGCAATAAAGCACAATCTTATTTTCTCCCCCAGACAGTAGCCATAAACTGCACAGACACACAGGGTCAGAGAGGGGGAGGTGGACTGTGCCGTCATACACACACTTGAGCTTTGGGTTCTGCAGCATCACAATAATCAGTTGTGGCCACAGGGCTACATCCTGCTTTATTAAATGTCAATTTTTTTACTTTTCCAAGGTATTTCACTGCCTTTGTGTCAGAAGCAAAATTTTTGTAGCATCATCTGCAGATATAGTTGTATGAAGTAATGTTATTCAAACGAATGCCAAATCATATATATAGAGAGAGAATTCTAAAAATTATGTTATGGTTGAGAAAAATAGAAAATATGTCCACCTACAGGAACTTGATTCACAATGAATTTTGAAAGTTATAATTCTAGGGTAAATGTGATTTATACAGAAAAAAAAAGTGCTTGTACTTCAGGATAGGAGTATAGCTTTGTGAAAAACTAATGCTTATTCATATTATTTTAAGTATATTTAGTCTGTATTAACTCAAAATTGTTATCCTACACTCTTTTGAATCTTAACAGTGGTCTTCTGGATCCTTACCAGCATAACTGGCCTCTCGTCTGAGTAGATTTAAGATGTGCCAAATCAGCGTCCTCACTAATGCATTGGCCCGGAGCTTGTCTGTCTCAGCCTCACCCGATCTTTTTTATGAATCAGCAGCACAGTCATTTAATTAAAACAACCCCATTAGTTTACCAGGAATAATTAACCACCCCTGTTTCCTGTTGTTGCACATTTTGTCGCCACTGGTAAAGGTCTGTAGGTTCACATTTCCCAGAATGATGAAAATTGCCTGTGCCGAGAGCAGTCTGGTCTGTGTTGTTGGGGGGCCTTTTGAGATGCTTTCGGATGATTATGTAATGAAACGTGTTAATTGGGTGTGCAGGAGGTTCAGACATATGCTACATGCTACAACACATCTTTATGCTTGCGTCACTATCTCATTGACACCACTTGTCACCTTCATATAAAATGCTATTATTGGCTGTGAAATAATCTTTTTTAAAATGCATATGACAGATTTTTATGATTCTCTAATTCTAGATTAATTTGGTTGGATTATAACTACCATAAATAGAAATTATAGTTTTTACACCAATTAAGAAGCAATGTGTGAAGAAAAGTTGAAAAATGTGTTGAAAATGTGTTTTTTCTGTCCAAATGTTTGGCACAATTTATACATAAACAATTTTTACATATTTATACATAAACAATTTTTTTTCTAATACTTTAAACATGATTTCAACTAAATAAACATGTTTTCTTTTATTTGCATTGTGTACATTATAGGATTTTTGCTAGGTAAAACTGGAAAATGAGTATGAATGTTTTTGCAAAAATCTGAAGCAACTGGAAAATAAAAAACATGTAATTCAAACTGAATATGCCTTCCACCCACCTGCTGGGTCATAGTAACAAATTATCTGCCTCAAATTGACAACCTCAATTTTAATATTTGCTTGTGAGATCTATTAATTTTACTTATTTTACTTTTTCTTTACTGAAATATTTTTGATATGCAATATTAAGGTGTTCCACTATTGTCATATCAGCCATCAATTAATAGTCATAGTCAGGGGGGCCCTGAGCTTGTGCGGGGAGGTTGAGTGCTACCGACTAGATATAGTCGGCCTCACCTCCACGCACAGTTTGGGCTCTGGAACCCAACTCCTTGAGAGGGGCTGGACTCTCTATTTCTCACACTAGCCCGCTGCCGCTCCCCGTGACCAACGCGGGGAGCGGCAGCGGGCTGGTGTGGGCCTGCTCATTGCCCCACAGCTCAGCCTCTGTGTGTTGGAATTCACCCCGGTGAACGAGAGGGTCGCGTCCCTGCGCCTTCGGGTCGGGGACAGGTCTCTTACTGTGGTGCTGGCCTGCAGGCCGAACAGCAGTGCAGAGTACCCGGCCTTCTTGGAAACAGTGCACCAACCGGGGACTCTGTTGTTCTACTGGGGGACGTCAGCGCCTATGTGGGCAATGACAGTGACACTTGAAGAGAGGTGATTGGGAGGAATGGCCTCGCTGATCTGAACCCGAGTGGAGTTCTGTTACTGGACTTTTGTGCTAGTCACGATTTGTCCATAACGAACACCATGTTCAAGCACAAGAGTGTCCATAAGTGCACGTGGCACCAGGACGCCCTAGGCCGGAGGACGATGATCGACTTTGTAGTCGTGTCATCTGACCTCTGGCCGTGTGTGTTGGACACTCGGGTGAAGAGAGGGGCTGAGCTGTGAACTGATTACCACCTGGTTGTGAGTTGGGTTCGCTGGTGGAAGAGGGAGCCAGACAGACCTGGCAGGCCCAAACGTGTAGTGAGGGTCTGTTGGGAACGTCTGGCATAGCCCTCTATCTTTCAACTCGCACCTTGGCTGGCTCGCCTCTTCAGCATCACGTGGCAGTCGGGGACAGTGCCTCTGGACTGGCAAACCGGGGTGGTGGTCCCTCTGTATAAGAAGGGGGACCAGAGGGTGTGTTCCAACTACACAGCAAAAAGTGGAGTGTTAAAACTGACTCTCACAGAGTTAATTTTAACATTTTCTCAGAGTCTGTATGAGTCCAATCTGTTCTAGAGTTAATTTAACACTTTTGGAAATGTTAATTAAGTAACACTGGACCAAAGTTACCGTTTAACCCCAAAATCAAGAGTTAAATTAACATTTTGAGAGTGAAGTGTTAACACTTTGTAGGGTTATCCTGATTTAGCTAAACAACACACAGAGGTGTTTTATTTTTACACTTAATTTGAGTTAATTTAACATCTTGGAGAGTTGTAACTACACACTGTGAAGTGTAAATTAAGGTACACTGTAAAAAACACATTCAGTGCATGTAAAGTCTTTATTTTCTTTAAAACATTGTAAAATCATTATCTGAAGACTCTTGGCATGTATCACCGTCCAGCTGTTGTTCGACCTGAACAGTCCTCTGATGTGTTGGGCCTCCTTGAGAATAGTCAACAGGGCTGTCCGGTGGCTGTGGAGTCACTTGCCTTTTCCGCCTTTGGACCATCTTCAGCCTTGAGATGTACCCTGATCCACCCGCAGCATCATAGAGGTGCTCCTAAAAGTAAAAAGGATGCCATACAACTTAATGTTGAATGTTAACACAATTTACATTGCTTAGAAAGCAAAATAATTATTACATAGCCTTTCTTGACATATGGATCTTTGAGAGAAGGAAACGCCATCACAATCCCAAGGGCAGACTGTTCCCGGGTGGCCTTAGAGGGGAAGTTATTGAAACAGGAATTCAACTTATTAGAGACGTTAAGAATAATTTACTAAATTTTGTGAACAAACATAGAAACATACCCATGGTGTTAAATCATGTGAGAAACCAGTATATTAACCAACTTCCTTCTTGTAGTATGACTTAGGGTTTTTGTTATTTGTTATTCCTTTGGCACTTCTTCACCACCAGCTTTTTCTTTTAAAGCTGCTTCTATGATCTGTCAAAAAGAGAAACATATGTTATAGAGAGCTACAACATACAACATACACCAGACAGACAGACACCAATTTAGCGAATAAAAAATGATTTAAAAGCTTACTTAAAATATGCAGGATAGAATACTGTCCTTGACATAAGCAAAGAGCTAAAAGACCATGGGTTATAGTTATGTCTGCTAGCAATTTTTTTGACAAAGAATTCAACCTATACAGTTATAATTATAATTAGTGAAGAAAATAAAAAATATTGTCTATATAGTTTAAATCAAATTGCACTTACCAAAAAGAGCTGCATGTAAAAGTGAAAAATCCACTGTCTCTCTGGTTCAAACTGGTTCATTCAAACTGGTCTTCTGTGGCGGGAATTTGAAGTGGTGGGTGGGCGGTGCCGAGTTAACTCTCAGGGAAGTTGAAATAACACTAGCAGAAGTTGAATTAACACTGGGGGAAGTTGAATTAACTTCAACCATATCAACTCTGGCATATAACCCCAAATCTAACTCCCATTTAACATTCAAATAGTTAAAATAACACTTTCTGTGTTAAAAACAACTCTGAAATATTTTATCCTGAAATTTTAACTCTCCAGTTTTTGCTGTGTACAGGGGAATCACACTCCTCCTCCTCAGCCTTCCCGGTAAGGCCTATGCCAGGGTACTGGAGAGGAGAATCCGATAATCGAACCTCGGATCCAGGAGGAGCAGTGTAGTTTTCGTCCTGGCTATGGAACACTGGACCAGCTCTACACTCTCCATCGGGTGCTCGAGGGATCATGGGAGTTTGCCCAACCAGTCCACATGTGCTTTGTGGATCTGGAGAAGGCATTCAACCATGTACCTCGTGGTGTCCTGTGGGGGGTGCTCTGGGAGTATGGGGTTCATGGCCCTTTGCTAAGGGCTGTCCGGTCTCTGTACGACCGGAGCAGGAGCTGTATCCACATTGCCGGCAGTAAGTCAGACCTGTTCCCGGTGCATGTTGGACTCCGCCAGGGCTGCCCTTTGTCACCGGTTCTGTTCATTGTATTTATGGAAAGAATTTCTAGGCGTAGTCAGGGGCCGGAGGGCGTCCACAGGATTTCATCTCTGCTGTTTGCAGATGATGTTGTCCTGTTGGCTTCATCGAACCAGGACCTGCAATGTGCACTGGGGCAGTTTGCAGCCGAGTGTGAAGTGGCTGGGATGAGGATCAGCTCTTCTAAGTCTGAGGCCATGGTTCTCGACCGGAAAAAGGTGGCTTGCCCTCACCAGGTGGGTGAAGAGTCCTTGTCTCAAGTGGAGGAGTTCAAGTATCTCAGAGTCTTGTTTACAAGTTAGGGGATACGGAACGTGAGATTGACAGGCAGATCGATGCAGCGTCTGCAGTGATGCGGTCGCTGTATGGGACCGTTGTGATGAAGATTTACCAGTCAGTCTTCGTTCCTACTCTCACCTATGGTCATGAGCTCTGGGTAATGACCGAAAGGACGAGATCGCGGATACAAGCACTTGAAATTCGTTTCCTTCGTAGGGTGGCTGGGCACTCCCTTAGAGCTAGGGTGAGGAGCTCAATCACACGGGAGGAGCTCAAAGTAGAGCCGCTGCTCCTCCACGTCGAGAGGAGCCAGCTGAGGTGGCTCGGGCATCTGTTCCGGATGCCTTCTGGGTGCCTCCTGGGTGCCTCCCTCGGGAGGTGTTCCAGGCATGTCCCACCAGGAGGAGGCCCCGGGAAGACCCAGGACACGCTGGAGGGATTATGTCTCTCGGCTGGCCTGGGAACGCCTCGGGGTCCCCCCGGAGGAGCTGGAGGATGTGTCTGGGGTGAAGGAAATCTGGGAGTCTTGCTCAAACTGCTGCCCCAGCGACCCGGCCCCGGATAAGCAGAAGAAAATGGATGGATGGATTACTTTCTGTGTTTACATTTGGATTGGACAAAAATGGGTTAAGTGGTGTCAAGTTACATTTTCTGAGAGGTTTTAGATCGAAAAAGCTGTGCTAAAATCAGAGCAAAATATTAAGCAAGCCAAAAATGGTGAAGCCAAAATTTAACTGCACCATTCTCATCCCATTCCTATCAAATTACGTAACCAAAAAGTAAAGTAATATAGAAGCATTGCATCCATGTCAGGTTAACAGGTTTAAATGATGTAAAATATTAATCTCAGTAAAGGTAGATTATTATTTGTGTATTTTTATGCAAGAGTTAAGCAGCACAATCCCTCTGTCCACACTCAAAGGCAAATGATTTCTGTTCTGTTCAGCCTAATCCCTGCAGCATGATGTCTTTGTCAAACAGTTGAGGATTATTTTTCAGACTTTTTATGATTGCGGCTCGAATCATGAGATCAGTCATTGGTAAATGTACAGCTGGGTGTGTCTTGTGCAAAGAGGAGTCTTACTCATATTGAATTATGAGTAAATACAACGTAAAACCCAGAACAATAGATTCAAGTGGGTACTGGGGGAAGGATCGACACATTCGAATGAATTAGTATTTACAGATTTTCTTTAGTAGAAATAATAGGAGGAAGTGAGTAAAAGCACTATTACTCCAGAAAGGGTGATCTGTTCTCTTAAAAGAGCATTTTATGCCTCACCTGGCCCCAAATGGACTAAAATAGCACAAAGAAATAAATTCAATTTTCTGTTAAAAAAAAAAAAAAAGAAAGAAAGAAAAAGCAAAACAAAACATAAAATAATTTATAAAAAAAAAAAAAGTAGCCAATTTTGTAAAGTTGTCGTGAAAATGATTGCCCTATTGGTATAGCCATAGTAAATTATATATTGCTGCTATTAAGATTTGTGATATTCTCTCTAAAAAAAAAAAAAAAAGTAGGAATAAAGACATCTTAAATTTGTGGATTTGATTACAGTACACATATTATCTGTGTATTTTAGATGTAATGATGATTACACGGCATTAAAACATGAGGCTCCTGTTTGAGACCCTTGAGAGATAATAAGCATTGTGTCGACAGGCAGATCTTAAAGTGGGGCTTAATTAAATTCTCCTGCTCCCAGAGCTCAAGGTATCATTGGTTTAGTGAGTATAGTCATACCTCTTCACTACTTACTCGAGCAAGCTGCAGAAGTGGAGTAATGGAGAGGGTTTCATCTGTGGATAGTCAAAAGGTTACAGGAAAGTCAAATGAGTACAGTAGATGAAGCAGGGTCAAAGAGAAGGGAGTAACTCAGCACTGCTCAAACGTATGGAGTAAAACACTTATAAGGCACACAGCTGCTGCCTGGACAGTGCCATCCATCACCCACTGCAGCATGAAACCTACTGTACAACCAAAACATAGCGTGGCCCATGGATGAGGGTGCCGAGATCAAAGGAAAAGGACTATGTGAATGAATACACATTCATTCACTTTACACATTGCAGCTGGTGCAGGAAGAGCAGCTGATGAGGAGAAATGATATGGCCATTTCCTGTCCATCTTTGAGTAAAGATTTATGGAAGGCTTTACATGGTTAGCATTGCTACAAAGCAATTTAGATTGGATTAGTTTTATTAAAGTATTTAAAATTATGATGTTATGCTATTTGATTTCAAGCCATCTTCAAGAAGGAAGATGCTTATAAGTGAAGATAGAAATATCAGTCAAATGTAATGTTTACCATTATTTTAATAATTTATTTTTTTTATTATCAGAGCTTTCTCAATGTTTTCCTTAACATTTTAGTTTCAACAATAAAACTGTAAAAGAAAAATATGAGAGACATTTGATTTTGCGTGCTGCATAGTGAACCATTTTCAGGCAACCAATAACAAGAACATTTTGCTAGTGTATATATTATATTATGTGTGTGTGTGTATATATATATATATATATATATATATATATATATATATATATATATATATATATATATATTATACCTAAATGTTTATGTGTAGACACACAACTCTTTGTGGCTGGGGGGAAATCAAATAGTGGTGTGCTGTTAAAAGGGTGTTACTCTACCTCCTGGGCGGGGATGAGCAGCAGCTGCAAAGGCCTCTGCTATTTCCAGTTCTCTTCTCTTCCTATCCAACCCTCTTATTTTCCAAAACACTGCTCTGACGCTTCAGCAGATCGACTCCTGGCTAGGGGTGGTGTCAAAGCACTAAATGAGCAGTTACTACAGATCCCAGCCTTCTTTGTCGAACCTTGAGACCCTCATTTGTGTGACTTGAGCCTACCTATTCATCAGACCATCCAGCTTTCATGACCTTTACTTCAGTTTGTATTTGCGTATATTCTTCTTGATGGCAGCAGAGTACTTTTAACTGCATCTGCATGTTTGTGTACTTTTTGTTCACTTGCAAATTATTCTATTATGCTCGTTGTTTTCAATGGAAGCACTGAACTCTGTCAGTACCTCCCAAGCACATTGTCTATTTCAGTGTAGTTGATGAGAAAGTCATGTATCATTATATTCATTCATTGATATTTGTATATAACCTTGTAGTAATGATTAAAGAACTAAGTGAAGTACTATTTTATAAGTGGTAACCTCATGCAAATTTCTTTAGGCAAATCAGTAGTTTAAGTATCTGTAGTACAAACATTTACATACAAGTAGGAATTGCAGTAGCCACACTTACTGTATTAGTAGAAGTGCTGTAGTAGCAGTGGTATTATTGGCTTTAACCATCAAAGTGTATTTTTGTTTTGTTTTTTTACTTTTAAATCTACATCAATCCAAGTCTCATTTGATGCAAGTAATGATTGAATTCCTGACATTTAATTTGTTTTACGGTTGTGACAGTGGTACAACTCAGCCTAGATATTGGATCTATAAATCATCATTCAGCCCATTTAAAATCCAATGCAATTAAACTGTCAGCAATGCAATATCTTGTTTTCCTAGCTGCCATTTTGATTGGAAAAGTTTCTAAAATGTGTTTGTCAGATGTACAGGTAATGTTTGACATGATGTTTTTGACATGTAATTAAAGTAATATGACAATGGGGTTTGCTTGTTCTGGCTAGTTTCGTACTAGTTCTTGGTCCCACTTTCTGAGCGCTGACCGGT